TTAATCTTTGATCTAAAGTCTCCTCTTTTGTGTACACGCAATAAAACCACAGTACTCAGGAAGATTAAGAATAGTTTGTCTTCACTTTCCAACATTATGTTATGTGTTTATGAGTCTTCCTTTGAAGAAACTCATGGTTTTAAGGAACTCGGATATGGGGAGGTAGGAGAGCATATCGACCCCAGTCGGTGAAAAGGAAAGTAGATCTCAGATGCAGCTAAGAGCTGTTCCGCGACAGATACCAGTAGGTAGACCGAATGATCGGAAGACCTAGGAGAATACTTCCAGACTTGAGCTTCTCTGATTTTCTGATGCTCACCAACCCACTCCTGCTTTCTTGAAAACTTACTTTTAAAAAGCAAATACCTGTAGCATTCCATCGGGGTTGCCACAACAGTTAAGGATCTAGTAATACCTGAAGATGGAATATGTTGGCAGTTTCTAACTGTTGTTTTCATCAACAAAATTGCCTTTGGTTACAGTTTTAGGATAAGGAGGTGGAAGCTGGGAGGTGGATACACACTAGCGAACCAGGATAACATTTAATGTCCTTAATTAAAAGGGTCAGCTGAAACTCCCAAGGTCAAGTTGGACTCCGGGTTCTATTTTGTCAACAGTGAACACGCAAGGAAAAAAATCATTAGCTAACCGTACTTCAACATATGTATTGCTGGTGTTCCTTCCTCTCCGTAAACAGACTAAAGAAAACAAGAGACATTGCTAGCTCAGTCAGAGAAATGACCGAGTTTGGCCAAAAAGATGGACATAATTGTGTCAATCCCTCATGCAATGGTTTAGCAAAAATTCTAATGCCTCTTTCCCCTCCATAGTCTACCAAATGCCTCAATATTACTTTCTGTAAAACTTTAATATTATAGTATAATTTCATTTACTAATTAGTGATTATCTCATATAATTCTTGAACAGGTGGGTGACAAAAAACTAGTTAAGTCTCTGGCAGGCCAATGGGATTATAAAGTCTGGTAGTGCTTTGAAAGGCTTCGGCTTCATGGCCAATGGAATAATCAGAGCTAACTATGCAAGAGAAAGTTCTTATCCACCTGCTTCTACTATAGGTGTGCAAAAGCGGGTCTTTCTTGAACTTAGCTAAATAATTGTTGACCTCTTTATTTGACTTTAGCCTATGATACCTTGTTTTAAAAAGTATCAGTGTAAAATAGCACAAATAACAATGAGTATTTGACAAATACTATTCCTTTCCCTTGACTCATCCCTAAACTCATCATATGCCAATAAGACACTCTTGTTCTCTGATCAGTTTTTATTTATTTTAATCAAATTGGAATTTTGAGAGAACTCAACATGATTAGTCATTAGGGAAATGCAAATGAAAACCACAGTGAAAATACCACTTCACAACCATAAGCATGGCTATTATCCCAAAGACAGTAAAAAAAATGGTGAGGAAGTGGAGACACGAACCTTCATTCATGGGTGGTGGGGATGTAAAATTGTGCAGCCATTTTGGGAAACATGTTGACATTTTCTTTAAAAGTGAAATCTAAATTTACTGTAGGATCCAACAATTGTACATGTAGGTATTGATCCAAGAAAGATGAAAACATATGTTCATGCTACCACACGAGTGCTCACTGTGGCATTATCCACAATAGCCCAGATCAGAAATAACCTTTATGTCCACCGACTGGTAAGTGGATAACAAAATGTGCTCTATTCATACAACGGAATTCCACTCATCAATAAAAAGGAACAAAATACTAAAAGAGCTGCAATGTGGATGGACCTCAAAAACATGTCGAGTAAAAGAAGCCAGACATGAAAGACCCCATAATGTATGATTCCATTGATATGAAATGTCCAATAAAGGCAAAACTACAGAGAAAGAAAGTGGGTTAGTGGTTTTCTGGGGCTGGAGAGAGTAAAGGAGATTAGCCATAAATGGGCTTGAGAGATCTTATTGGGATAATGAAAATGCTCTAATGCTAGTTTATGGTATTATGGTGATAGTTGCGGAACTTAATACATTTACTAAAAATCATTGAACTGTACACTTAAAATGGGTGAATTTTATGGTATATAAGTTATACACCTCAATAAAATTGTTAAAATATATATCAGAGTGGCTTTAGACCTTGAGAAAAATGTATAGCCCTAGAATTTCAGCATGGTCTTGGTTCCCTCTGATTCTATGAGTATAAGCTGGATATTGCAGAAGAATGTTCCAGGCAGGAAAATCTTCACCCAAACTTCTGGTCCTCGGCAACTCTTCTTGGATCCTTAAGAGAGGTGTAGACACAGGGCAAACCGATGCTCCCAAGATTGGAGAGACAGACGTGCAAACAGAACCACAGCTCACTGGAGTAGAGACTCACCAGTGGAAACCACCATAGCTACCAGCCAGGGGGGAACATCTGAACTGTAATTGATGAACTGCTGGAGGCAACCTGGACAGGCCTGGAAGTTAAAAACTCCAAAGGGACCTAGGCACAGGGGAGTCCCTACAGTATTGTAAGACGTACCTCCAGGAACTCGACCAGGATCCCAGAGTAAACATCAGAGAAAAATGCCCTTTCTGTAGGGAAAAGGATCCATTTTGAACAATAGTGTGGGGAAGGCAAGAAGGGGTGGGGTTGGGGAGGAGGGGGTCGATGGGGAAAAAAAGGGGGAACATCTGTAATATTTTCAACAATAAAGATGAGTTAAAAATATTTCAAGAACAGAGAACCCAGAAATTGACCCAAAACATTATGCTCAATTAATATTCGACAAAGGTGGCAAGAACACACAATGGAGTAAAGACAGCCTCTTTAATAAATGGTATTGGGAAAATTGGACAGCTACATGCAAAAAAAAAAATTAAACTAGACCATCAACTTACATCATACACAAGAATAAACTCAAAATGGATAAAGGACTTAAATGTGACTCGTGAATCCATAAAAGTCCTAGCAGAATTATCAATAATACATCACCTAAGGCAACAGAAACAAAGGAAAAAATGAACACATGGGACTACATCAAACTCAAAAGCTTCTGCACAGCAAAAGAAACAACCATCAAAATGGAAAGGCAACCCACTGTATGGGAGAGCATCATTGCCAATGATACATCAGATAAGGGGTTGATTTCCAAAATATATAAAGTGCTCATACAGCTCAACAAAAGGAAGACAAAGACCCAATTAAAAGGAAGACCCAATTGAAAAAGGGACAGAGAAGCTAAATAGATACCTTTCCAAACAGGACATACAAATGGCCAAGAGACATATGAAGAAATGCTCAACATCACTAATCATCAGAGAAATACAAATTAAAACAACCATGAGGTATCACCTCACACCTGTCAGAATGGCCGCCATCAACAAATCATCAAACAACAAGTGTTGGCCGAGGGTGTGGAGAAAAGGGGACTCTAGTACACTGCTGGTAGCAATGCAGACTGGTGCAGCCACTGTGGAAAACAATATGGTGTTACCTCAAAAAATTAAAAATTGTATTGCCATTTGACCCAATGATCCCACTTCTAGGAATATACCCTAAGAAGCCTGAAATACCAATCAGAAAGAATATATGTACCCCCATGTTCATAGCAGCACTATTTACAATAGCTAAGGTCTGGAAACAGCCCAAGTGTCCATCAGTAGACGAATGGATAAAAAAGCAATGGTACATATACACAATGGAGTACTATGCAGCTGTAAGAAATAAAGATCTCTTATCCTTTGAGATGACATGGAGGGACCTGGAAAGTATTATCCTAAGTGAAACAAGCCAAGCAGAGAAAGACAAATATATGATCTCACTTATTTGTGGAATATAATGAACATAACAGTCTGAGGAACAAGGTAGACCCAGAGACGTGGAAGTAGGGTACAGACTGACAATTCCCAGAAGAGGGGTGGGGGGGAGATAAATCACAGAATTTGTATGCTTATACGCATAACCAATGGACACAGACAACAAAGCTGGGGACAGGGAGGGCAGGGAGGGGGAGGGTGGTGGCAGTGGGGGAAAAAGGAGAAACATCTGTAACAAAAAAGAGTAAGTAAAGAAAGAAAGAGAGAGAGAAAGAAAGAAAAGAGAAAGAGAGAGAGAGAGAGTGAAAGAAAGAAAGAAAGAAAGAAAGAAAGAAAGAAAGAAAGAAAGAAAGAAAGAGAGAAAGAAAGAGAGAGAGAAAGAGAGAAAGAAATTTTAGGCACCGTGTTCTTAACAAGCTCTGCCCTCAGAGAAAATAGTCAACCAGAACTCTATCTGCCAGGGTGTTATCATAGCATAACTCACCAGGGAAGGGAAATACCCAACTCTCCCTAACCAGCCTTCCACGTGGGGAAAGGGAAATACCTACCCCTCGCCCACTCTAGCTATCCTGTTCTGCCGGGGGGGAGGGGAAACCCGAGAGACACTGGTGAAGTTCCCATTTCTGAGGCTCACCGAGACTGAGACCTAATCCTAGGCTTACTTCAGGAAAACCTCAGAGAGAAAGCTGAAGGGCATGTAAACCTGAATTACTCTGGTAAGGTTTTTTTATTATAGTTTCATAATTTCAATGTCTCTTTAGCTGTTATTAGGACCATTTTCATTTTAAAATAAAGTTGAAATGGGTACCATATAGCACTGGCTGGGTAGCCTCCTTGGTTACAGCGTTGTCCCGATACACCAAGGTTGTGGGTTTGAGCCCGGTCAGGGCACATACGGGAACGAACCAGTGAATGTGTAAATAAGTGGAACAACAAATCCATGTCTGTCTGTCTGTCTCTCTCAGAACCAATAAATACATTTAAAAAAAAATTTTTAAATGCATACCATACAAAAATATGTTTTACCCCTGCCCCCAAAGCTCCAGAATGCTTACTGTGAATCAACTCTTAGTAACAATTTCGTCTTACCTGGCTGACTTCCTTTTCTCCTGGTCAGACCCCAAAGGGAAATAAGTGATGTGTGTGCAATTTGTTGAGAGTGGAAGAAATTTTGTGGTAACACCGAGTTTAAGCCTGGTTTTCCCCCTTCGTTTACATGCAGGACTATTCCCTCACATAACCAGTTCCTTTGAAAAGCCCCTTAGTGTCAAGCACAGAGTGGTAAGTCCATTTCTCAATGATCGCTCACCTGTGGAGGGCTTAAGTGACTGCACACCCCGGAGGGGGCAGGGCGGGTTCCCGGGAGCCTCTGCGCACACATTGCATTAACCGGTCAGTCCGCACATTTGTTTGATGTGTGCTTCTGTTTGCAGACACCTCATTTAATATATATTGTTGATTCATTGACACTGAACTTACAGCCAACAGCACTATAACTCACGCGTAAATGAAGATCATCTAACACATGTGCTTTCTTAGTGAGGATAAGACCGCACTCGGCAACACACTGTGGCAGGGGGCGGCGGGGTATTTTCAACAATGAAATCGCTAACAAAAAGCCCAAAAATGCAGAAAGGGGGGCCCTAAGTAGATCACAGAAAGGGCACTTGTTTACAGTGTGAGAGATGAAACAAGAAGGGAAGGTGTGTCCTCAAGTCCGACCTTGACTGAGAAGGTGCCTGTCAGGTGACTCCGAGCATTTGCCACTCTGTGCGTGTCCTTGGAAGACCTCAAGGGTGCTTCGGGGATTGACTCGGGGTTACACATACATTTTAATAAGTAGGCAAAGTCACAAATATGAAATCCATGAATAATAAGCATGGGTGGTATTCATTTCCTTTGCCCATTTTCCTATTAGAGGGTTTAGTTTTTCTTATTGATTTGTATAAGCTATTTGCATATTAGGATAGTACTCTTCTGCCCAGTCCTGTTTTATAAATAATTTCCCCAATTTTGTCTTTGATTTACTGTTGGCATCTAGAGTGCCAGAATGCCTTTTGAAGGGGGAGGACATGCTGGAAAGGAACATTGTTACATTTCTATGGTTGTGAGCGTGGGCGCTGATGTATTTTTATCTCTCTCTGCAGGCACACCAAATTCTGTTTGGTGATTTTTCTCCTGCGCCTCCAAATTATGGAAGTCCATGTAAGTCCTACCCGAGACTGTCACTTTGTGTCCCTGTCTTGCCTTTATTTGAATTATGATCTTATTTGATATTTTCATCCCTTTCCGAGTCTGAGGCCGCTTAAGGCCTTTTGCATTTCTGCCTCCTTCCTTCTGTCACCACTTTGTGACTTCGTCGTCCCTCTCCTGACAGTGGGGACTGTAGGAGGCAGAAACAGGAGGGAGAAATCCCAGAGACGTGCCAGCAGCAGCTCTGGACAAGAGAAACCGCGAGGAGGTTGTAGCGGTGGCAGAGGGGTGGGGGAGTGTCTGGGAGGGTTCAGAACTACTGACGGAAAATGGGTTAGGCCCTGGCCGGCGTTGCTCAGTGGTTAGAGCGTCAGCCTGGTCTTAGGTTTGATTCCGGTTAAGGGCACATACCTGGGTTGCAGGTTCGATCCCTAGCCCTGGTCCGGGTGCGTGTGGGGGAGGCAACCAATCAATGTGTCTCTCTCTAGCATCGATGTTTCTCTCTCTCTCCTTGCTTTCTATCCACCACCTCCTTCCTTTCTACTGTCTCTAAAAAAAAATCAGTGGAAAAATTATCCTCTGGTGAGGATTAACAACAAAAAAAAGGGGTTTGGGAAGTAAATGTGTCCATATTACTGTAGATTCTGTTTATTTACCGCAAGCACTTACACGCTGGCTGGCTGTCTCTTCACGCTAGATGGGAGAACTAGGAGGCCAACATTCCAGAGCCTGCTGAGTTACAATCAGAAAAGGGAAGACTTCTGGAAGCATGTAAGAATCTTTTAACTTGTCACCCGAAAGTGGATCCCCAGGGTGGCGCCAGTGGGTGTGCCTGTCGGTGTTGGCCGTGCACGGTGGTGTGTATGTTTAGAGTTGGTGCGAAGGCGATCCCTAACTCAGTGTTCTGAGAAGCGGTCTTCTCCAAAGCATTGTGCACATTTCTTGTCCAGAGCGCTCCAGTTGTTCGGGAAACAAGCCATGAAGGGGATTGGAGTTTTTCCTTTACTGTCCCAATTTCCATCAGTGATGCCCGTGATTTTTTGGGTCCTGCCTCTTGCGAAAAAGGCATTAGGTTCTCCGCCTGTCCTTCCTTCTGGGTGCCTCGCATCCTGGGCACACTCTCTTCGTGTGGCTGCCTGGCACCCGACATCTACTGTCCCTGCTCCCCTGACATGGCCCTCCAAGCAGGGGCTGTCCCGCCCGATCAGACTTTCCCAAAGCCCAGTCATCTTTAGCAGTGTGTTAAAATGGATTCTTTCGCTGTCTTAGAGCTCTGGCAGGGATTCCTGGGGAATGGGTTGACAGGGAAACACTGTTTCTGCAAGTACCCTACTGACTTCACCTCATTTAACACAAACCTTACAACTATTTTTGCTATCCTATTGCTTTGGTTTATTAAGATATCTCTAAACTGACTTAAAACAGCAACAACTCAGCCTGATCCTGAGGAATTATACAGGGGTGGACAGAAGCACGTTGACAGGTGTTTGTATGGAAAATAACCCAATGATTCAATACTGCAAGAATAACCTCTGTTTCACATCCTTGCAACTGTAAACCTACTTTTGCCCCACCCTGTATGGCGATACCATGGCTTGGGTATGCTAGTTATGTGGATTAGAAAAAAAGAAAACGTGACCATTAAAATGAAAACTGTTATTCAGTACCACCTGGCATATCACAAGAACCACTAGTTCTATGGAGATATCACTCTGGAAAATGTATCTATGGGCACCAACTAGCTACTCTGATAAAGTTAGCTAATGGGACAGGGGTTGGATGACCCACCTTGGTTCCCAGGTCCAGTTAATGGTGGCCTTCCAGAAATACTACATTTTTCTTGATTTTTCTGCTGCCGGGCCTGGGAACTCTCCTATGGAACAGTGCAGGTTTGGGGAGGCGGTGAGGTGGCGGCTGTGGAGGGAGTCGTTCAGGGGCATTTGATGCTGGGCAGCCACTGAAAACGAGAGTATCCAGCAGCCAGGGACCTCCCTTCACGCGAGGGTTGGTACAGGCTTCGAGGAAGGGTACACGATTTCCTGAAAGTATATTTACTGCTCCGCGGCCTCCTGGGAGTTGCTTGAGAATCATTAACCATCGTTAAATAAATAAATCGCTCTTGCTGCATGGCATTGTACCAGCGCCAAGCACGGCCATGCCAGCGCCCACAGCTGTTCTGGGCAACAGTTGCCTTTCTCTTTGAGGTGCTTCCCCGACCCCCTCCCCTAAAGTGAATTCTGTGTATCACAGTAGCCTCTTTTAAGTCAACAATTCCCGAAGAATTAGTGACATCACACCCTGCCCTTCTTTGCACAGTGCACCAGCAAACTAAAAGTACACACACACACACACACACACACTCCCTACACAACACAGTTCATATGGGACACGTGTTTGGGAAACATTGGGCCTACAGTTCTGACCAAAAAATAAATCATGCCTTTTTATTTACTAGATAAGGCAAAATCTTCATTTTTAAATAGGTGCTATGCTTTGAGATGTCAAATGGACAAATTCTTGCGTCAGCAACGAGTAGAATGATGTTTTCAACCATCATTAACAGTATTCTCGCTTTAAAAAGTATTTGCCCGGTGTCTAATGCCCGTGGTAGCCAACTTCTAAATATTTATATTTCTGAGCCCAGTCTTCAAGAAGTTCACGACGTGAAGGCGAAAACAGAGAAATGCGTCATACCCAGCAATGGGCAGACTGCAGGAACGGTGGGGAGGGCGGGCGGCCGAGGAGCCGTGGGTTAGTGACGCCAGGACTTCTTGCATCCTTCTTTCTAGTCTTTTCCTCTTGTTGAGCTGGCCTTCCTGACAAAGACAGGATAGATGAACTAGGGAGGTTAAAAGAGCTGGAAGAAAAAGCAGAAACAACCCCAACTCCGGCTCATGAATGATGTCTGGCAATTTCATTCCCAATTTCGCGCACAAAGTAACCTTTGCGGTTGGGCGAGCGCTGACAAGCGGACCATTTTTCAACAGCCTCCGGAACTGCGCAGCTCTGCGAGCAAGTCTGGCTCGTCCGAAAACTCGGATGCTGATCAATACTACGTTTACGGTCTGGGAGGGCCGCTGTGGCCATCCAGCTGAGTCGGAAAACCAAGTCACTAGGCTGCTGGCCCGGAGTTTGCGTAATAAACGACTTTGAGGTATGAGAGGGCCTTGGAACACGTGGACTCGGCAGGCTGGCTTTCTTGGACCCTTCCTGGGCTTCCAACGCCTTCACCCCTCAATTTTTTTTTTTTCTCTTTATTGGAAGAGGGGACAAAAGTTATCGTTACTATTATTAAATTTTCCTTTGAAATAAATATCGGCACCCCCACGTCTCTGCAAGAACCAAGCAAAGGTGTCGGGGCTCCTCCAGCCGCGGGCTCCTGCGACAAGAGCCGGTCTGTCCCCCTGGGAGCCGGCGCAGGGGCGTGAGCAGGGCGCGTTTGTGTGCAGAGCGGTGGCCCTAAGCCGCAGCCCTGGGCGGCCAGGTCGTCCCCTGCGCGGGGCACCGGGGAGACGCACCGTGGCTCCAGCTGTGCGGCGGGCGGGGGCAACCTGAGTCCGGTCGGTCGGGCGCCCTCGAAGCCCACCCGGCCGCCAGCCCCACTCGCGGCTCCGCCCCCTGCCAGGATCTTCCTTCCCAGCTCCTCTCCTCTGTTCAGCCCCCTCCCCCAGGTCCTCCTCCTCCTTCCGCGATCCTCCTCCCCGCATCCAGGACCTGCCTCCCCTCCCTCCCCCTTCAACCATGCTTCCCTCCCTGCGTGCCCCCCACTACCCGATCCACCCCCAGGCCCTGCGCAGCCGCTGGAGGGAGGGCCCTGGCCCGGGACGTGCACGCTGCGCACTGGAAGGACCCGGGCCGCAGCTGCTGCCCTAGGAGGGGAGGCAGACCGTGTGTTCTCCAAAGTCACTGCCTCCTGCTCCTTCTTCCTCCCACCGGCCCGCCCCTCTGCCCCTGCTTCATTGACTCCCACTTACCCAGACCTTCTCTTGTATTATTTCTGTTTAATCGAAACGGTAATTAACAGTCAAACCTTCACCGCCCCACCCCACCCACCCCCCAAACGCCTGCTAGTGGTTACTTTTGTTCTCTTGCCCAGGTTAGGCAAAATACATTCCTGGCCCGCCATCTGGTCTCGTTCCCCGGGTCCCTTCGTATGGTTTCCATTAAGCTCGCCAAACCTTGCATTGAAAATGCAGCCCGGAGCCACTCGGAACCTCCAGGATTTGCGCTCTGGCCAGGGGCAGTCAGAGATTCTCAGGCCTCTGTTTAAGTTCCGAGGCTAGTCCCTCACCGTCCTGTCTTACCTGTAATTAATATGCTTTACTACTCCAAGAAAGTCACTTCTCTGTGTTAATGGTTATTATTCATTCATTCAATATTGTTTTTAACTGCATGTAAGGCATAGTTTATTAGAATTCTGTCTTCATTCTGAAAAGCTATGTTAAGAGCCTTGCAGATGATTTTACAAAACAACCTGGCCACAGAAATTCATTTTGACCAGCAACATTTGTATAGCTTGGTCTGCACCGTGGCTCTTGCTGCCCTCCCCCCATTTTCTTATAACCCCCGAAAGACAAAACCCCCAAGCAAATGTTAGCTTGTGGAAATGTATTCCTTTACACAGGTGTTGGGGTTTGTGGCCCAAGAAGAGAGGGAATGGGCCTGTCACAGAACCATAGAGTGCAGTAACGGGGAAGTTCCTTAACATTTACCAAAAATGAGTTGCTTCGTTTACTGAGGAGACTGAGAAAGTGCGGGGCTTAGGGAAGGTCACGTGGCTTATGAGTAAAGTACTAACTGAGAACTGCGGCCTAATTTGGGAAGGAGACCTGGACATCAGTGTTTGGTCATGTGCAGCAGAAAGGACTTGATCGCACAGTTCGGTTGTAGCACATCCTCTGTCTCTGGCCCTTCACCCCGGAGCTTCCTGCCTGCCTGCTCTCGGTCTTACCTCCTTGGGGGGCGGGGGGCAGCCCTTTCTTTCTTCCCCTCACCTAGGCTCTGCTCCCTTTCTTTCTTTCTCTTTCCTTCCTACCCCCCACCCCACCGGAGCCCTGACCATGAGATTTTATTTGGCTTTTTAAAATGAAACCAGGTGCCGCATAAAACAAAAGCAGAGTAATAACAAGGAAAGACTGTTCAACGCCTGAGGAATGTGCTGAGTTCTGTGACTCAGGCTGTCCTGGCAAAGAACTCTGACTTACATGGAGAGGTGGGTGGCACGGAGCGCAGACCATACATGGTAGCCTGGCCTCCCCAGATAGGTTGGTCAGGGCAGCCTGTGACTCATTTAGCAAAACCAGAGACTCTGTTCCTTGTGGAACAAGACTACCCGGAGGCTAGAGCCAAAGGATCATCAACGTTTCCCAACGGGGCCAGTTCAGCCTGACATAGCAGGGGCCACCCTGAGGTTTGGAGGGGAAGGGAGCCTGGGCAGAAGGCCATCCCTGGGAAGGAAACAGGCTTGATGGACCTGGGCAAGGGCTTTTGGTGCATTTAAGAGATGAATAACATGTAAGCCGCGAGGGGACATAAGAATTACCGTGTATTGTAGTGGAGACAATGGCTTGCGAGCCCCAGGTGGCAGGGTTTTCACGGTGCCTTGGAGGAGGGGCGTGTGGCCGTGCTGCCGAGGTCCCTGAGGTGTTTGCTCCTTGCAGGGGTGCGTGGTGAAGAGTGTAGGAAAAGCGGGTCTGACTCTGGCGAGGCTTTTGGGGTACCATCACTAATGCCTCAGGAGGGGTAACTAAGAACAAGGGTAGTGGCCTTTACATAAACACCCCGAGAGACACACAGGCACACATTCTCACATTCTGAGGATTCTTTTCAAATGAGCACAGGGATGGGGTGAGGTGTACATTTTTTTCTGTTACTAAGAGACAGGCCGAGAGAGCTGGGAACGCTAAGGAGAAGGTCTCTCCAGCAGAGGTGGTGGGAGGGGTCTGTACTTGGGCGACAAGGATCTGTTTGTGCCTCTTCATCGCACAGGCCTGGGCTGGCCGGGACTCTGGTTCCTGCCACTCTAGGGAAGGCTGTCAGTGCCCGAATGAGAATGCGCCTTGGCTGGTGTCAATGAGATCCCCAACAGCAGCCTCGTGGAACAGGGCCCCATTTCTCTCTTCTTTCCCTTCCACGGACTCCCCACTGAAAGGCTACGGTGACTATTCCTTAATTGCAGGAAGAGCTCGGCTTCACTTTCTTTTTAAGTCTACTTACCTGGAAAAATAAAGTCTTT